TTTTTTTTTTTTGGTTGAAGTCATCTGCATGGGTGTAAGGTTGTATCTCATTGTAATTTTGACTTGCATTTCCTAAATGATTAATGATGTTGAGCATCTTTTTATGTGTTTATTGTCCATTTGTATGTTGTCTTTGGAGGACTGTCTACTCAATTCTTTTGTCAATTTAATAATTGGGTTGTTTTTCTTTCTGTTATTGAGTTGTAATAAATTATTCTTTTTTTTTTTTCAGTGCTGGGGATCCAACCCAGTGCTTCCTGCATGCTAGGCAAGCACTCTACCACTGAGCTCTACCCCTAGCCTATAAGAATTTTTACATGTTCTGGATACTAAACCCTTGTCAAATGTATGATTTACAAATATTTTCTTTCATTCTATAGGTTATCTTTTCACTTTCTTGACAATGTCCTTTGATGTAAAAGAGTTCAGTTTTGAGGAAGCCTTATTTATCCATTTTTTGTTGCTTGTTCTTTTGGTGCCATACTTAAGCATCTTTTTATGTGTCTATTGTCCATTTGTATGTTGTCATTGCTTAATACAAGATAATAAACACCTGTGTTTACTTTTTAGTGCTTTTTTTTTTTTTGGTGGTGGCGCTGGGGATTTGAACCCTGGGCTCAGTGCATGTGAGGCAAGCACTTTACCAACTGAGCTATATCCTCGGCCCCTCTTTGTTTCCTTTTTAGGAATTTTATAGTTATAGTTTTTATATTTAGGTGTTTGACTATATTTGGAGTACTTTTTGTGTATAGTGTGAGGGATCAAGAATACTCTTTTGAACACCTACTATGTGTTAGACACTGCCGTTGGAAGCAGTAGTAACAAAAATAGGCACATTCCTGCTATTGTATAGCTAAAATTCTAGAGGTGCTCACAAATGTTAGTCAAGCCACATAAGTGTCAGTGTGTAAACTTGACTTGCTTACCTACTGTTTCTGACCTCTAATGGGGGCCCAGATAGCACAGACATTGTGGGAGAAAGGCATACCCTTGCATGGGTGGCAAAGTTGCAGTATGGTCCTGGGCTTGATATTATGGAGGAAATCCTCATCTGAAACTGTTATGGGGACATTTGCAGCCTACTTTAGAGACTTCAGAGTTCAGGCTATGGCCACATCCAACATCTTTCCTCTGACTGTCCACTTAGACTCTTCCTTAGTCCCTAGGCCTTTTGTGGCCTTCCCCTGTGTTGGAGTCTTTCTACCCCTCTGGGTGGCATACTTAGTTATTTTTCCTTTTAAGATCATCTTGGGTCACTTTCTTAAAAGGTTCATATTAGTCCCTGGAAACATATTTTTCTGCATTTTATGATACTTGAATTTGTGTTCAAGACTACCGTTTTATTGTCCCTTCTGCTAGGAGCAGCTTAGCCACAGCCTTCAGGTTTTTCTTGTGTGAACCAGGCATTAGTTTCTATAATCCTAAACTTACAGGATATATCAGCCTTTAAGAAGCTTTCTTTTCTTTTTTTTTTCGAGGTAATGGGGAAGCAACAATTGTCCTTCTCTCATTCTAGAAGTCATCCACCAGACATTTAAATAGCCCCTTGAGAGGCCCATTGGGATGAAATTGAGGCTTCCTCTGATCCAGTTGATTCTGATGACTCTAGCCTTGGTTGGCATCTTGACTGCAGCCAGCTTCATGACAGACTGTGGGCCAGAATCCCCAGCTCAGTCACTCCTGAATTTGTGACACACAAAAACTGTAAGTTTAATGAATATTCATTACTGTTTTAGATAAAAAGTAAAGCCTTCATAAAGTTTCTGGTAAAAACATTATTATTCTTATTCATATTAAACAATATCAGAGTCAGTTTTAAAAAAATAGGAGTTTAAAAGAGTAAGGATAGTGTAGTATGATCAGCAAAGGCCCATAAAGCAGAGAATAATGAATGGTTGTCCTAGACTGTTTGAACATTGAAGGTTACTCAGAGACCAATGTGGACGAGTTTTGCTGCTTTATTATTTATATATGTAAGTGGGATTTAGTAGTGTCAGAGGACAGGAGAAAGGGAAATTTCAAACATGATTTTCACCTCAACTTATATTTCTTAGAGTTAGTGAGAGCCCAGTGACCAGAAGGCTCTTTCAAGCATGTCTCATAAGCCAGGGACATGTTTTTTTTGTTTTACAATAATCTTTTAAAAAATCTATAAAAAACTTAAATCTTGCAAAAAATCATATTTTTTTTTAAAGTGAAGGGTACAGGGCTGGGGTTGTAGCTCAGTGTGAAAGTGCTCGCCTCACATGTATAAAGCACTAGGTTCGATCCTCGGTACCACATTATCAACAAAATAAATGTATTATGTTAATCTACAACATATATATATATATATATATATATATACACACATACATACATACATACAGTGAAGGGTATAGCCATAAGGTAGGTATTCATATTTATACTGGCAAAGAGGGGATGTGATACCAGGGGTCTTGAGAGGCCCATCCATTCCCACATGTCTTCCTCACACACCTGACCTATTGCCTAACATTGTCATCACCTCATTTATTCTTGGATTGAGACACCATCCCTTCATAGTATATCCTGGCCATATTCTTAGAGATATAATTGCTAAAAAGGATCCTAGAGTAATTACTTTTGGGACTACTTCTTAAACATTTGCTATGTGCCATACAGTCATTTGGAACCAACAATAATAAAACAAACACATCACAACAATTATCAAGCTAAAATTTTAGTAACACTCATGGATATGAAGTTAGTGGTCAAATAAATGTTTAAATATAAAGTAAGTACAACAAAGGGAACTTATAGGCTGCTGAGGGCCTATGAAATAGAACACAAGAGTTAGTCTCGGGTAGCATAGGGGTGGGTGACTTAGTGGTTAGGGTAGGTTTTTCTGAGGAAGTTGATGTTTGAGTCCCTGAAGATGAGGTGGGTGTAACTAGGTAAAGAAACATCCTGAGTAGAGATGTGTAGTTTAAGGAAGGGCGATGATTATCTCAGATGTTCAAAAATAATAAGATGGAGATCTTGACACTGGTAGGGATAAGGTGAACCCCATGATCTGGGTGAAATTTTGGGATCATGTAACATGAAGTATCCTCTTTATTTAAAAAGGAAGAAACTTGAACCTAAGAAAGGGTACTAAGCTAGAAATCAGCAGGGCCTGGCTTAAAATTTAGACATTCAAATTCATTGTTGCTCCAGTGGGCTACCCTTTTTGTAATGTCCTGTCTTCAGTCTGGGGGTGGATGAGAATTTTGTGTTTCTTTTGTCAGTATGAGAGCCAGGTCATTTTTGACCTTTTTCCTTTCTAATATATATATATATATATATATATATCAAAGTTGATTATTAAACATTTCTGTGCTATGGACACAATAATGGAAGGGACTCTGTCTGTTTTGCTCACAATAGTATTCCCAGCCATAATTACGAGTGTCTGGCACACACGTTATTCCTGGTAAATAACTATTAAGAATATTGATGAGAAATTGGTTATTAAAGGGAAATAGGAGATCCTTGTTAAGGCATAGGTCATTTGCAGGTATATGTATGAATTGCATGAAGCTATACATGAGGAATAAATATGGGGAAATGGTATACAAAAGGACTCTATGAGGCCAGTTTTTCCTCAGGAAGCCTCCTTTTGCCAGTAGGGCCACAATCTGAGTCAGAAGACCATTGCATTCTTTTTTTTTAAATATATTTTTAGTTGTAGATGGACACAATATCTTTATTTATCTATTTTTATGTGATGCTGAGATTCGAACCCAGTGCCTCATGCATGCAAGGCAAATGATCTACCACTAAGCTACAACTCCAGTCCCCCATTGCATTCTTAATGGATATTTCATGGGGAAAGTGGTTAAGAAGAGGAGGAAGAAAAGAAAGAAGGAAGGGAGAGAAACAACAAAACAGAAGAAAATAAAGAAAAATGGAAGAAAAAGAGAGCCAGGAGTAAAAACCAGGAAGGTGGTGGGGAGCAATAAAGAGGAGAGAAAGCCAGCATCTCTTTATCCTATTCTTTGAGGCGTTAGATACATGCAGATCCCACCATATGTGCCTGCCTTCGGCTGTCTCTTGAGTTAGTCATCTCCTTGTTGTTCTTGGAGGATCCTCTCCAGTATGAGCTTCTTTGCCACCCTTCAAGCAGGGTCTTTAGACTAGTGGGATTTTAAAGGAGCCTCTTTTCTTTCATATTTAAAGGGCTAGAAACAGATTCTGTCTACCTAAAAAGTTACCATGTGTTATGATTTCCTGCCATGGACTCTCAAATAGTCTAGCTTTCTGAAGTTTTTGTTATTTGCTTGAGGTAGTGAGGAAGCAAGATTTGTCCCTCTCTTATTCTAGAAGTTATCTACAAAATCATAAAGACACTCCAGCCTCTTTTGGAGAGGCTCATGTGGTTACTGAGGCCTCCTATGAACTACCAGCTTCACTTTGCCAGATTTGTGACTGTATGACTTTGTAAGCAGATGTCTCAGCTCCTGTTGATTCTGATGTCTGCTACAGCTGACATCTTGACTGCTGCCCCATGAGATGCCCTAAGCCAGAACCTCCTAGCTCAGCTGTTCCTGATTAATTACTCACACAAATCATGAGTTTCGTATACATTCATTATTGTACTTTTGAATTATAATTAATATACATAAACTACTATTTTAAAGTGTATAGTTCAGTGGTTTTTAGTATTTTCACTATTGTTTGGTGATTACCACTAACTCATTTGAGAACATCTCTATCATCCCAAAATGATAGCCCCTACCTCTTAGCAGTCACTCTGTTCCTCCTACTTCCTGTCATCTGACAACTAGTAATGTACTGATTATATGGATCTGTTTATTCTAGATATTTCCTATAAATGGAATCATACAATATATGGTGTTTTGAGAATGGCTTCTCTCATGCAGCACAATGTTTCAAGATTCATCCATATTGCAGCACATGTCAATACTTCAGTATTTTTTATGGGTGAATAATAGTTTATAAAGATATTCCACATCTTATATGTGAATTCGTCAGCTGGTGGACATTTGGATTGTTTCTACTTTTTAAAAAATATTTTTATTTGTAGATGGACACAATACCTTTATTTTACTTATTTATTTTTGTGTGGTGCTGAAGATCCGACCCAGTGCCTTATACATGTGAGGCAATTGCTCTGACTCTGAGCCACAGTCCCAGCTCCTGTTTCTACTTTTTGGCTATTGAGTAATACTGCTAAAAACATTTGAAGGTGTTTCTGTGTGAGTATGTTTGTCCCACCTTTATGAGAGGGGGGAAAATATCTACCATTGTTCCTTTCTAAAGGTGTACCTATTAACCTGAGAAAAACAGGCCTTTCCTTTGCAGAGAAGCTCTATTTGTATCTTATCTTCCTATGTGAGTCTGATATTAGTGCCTGTCTCCTTTTAGTTGAAGGCTCCATGAGTCCAAATTCTGTTGAGAAATTAGACTCACTCTGAATACTCAGACTTTTGTGTCCCTGACTTCTGTTGAAGTTTTTGTCTTTCTATATGTTTTTTTTACTACTTTCCCTATAAAACAGTCTTTTAAAAATTTTTATTTGTTATTTTTAAATATACATGACAACAGAATGTATTTTGGCATATTACACATACATGGAGTATAACTTATTCTAATTAGGATCCTATTCTTGTGGTTGTATATGATGCAGAGTTACCCTGGTTTTGTATTCAAATACAAGGATAGGAAAATTATGTCTGATTAATTCTACTGTCCTTCCTATTCCCCTTCCTCTCCCTTCCCTTCATTCCCCTCTGTCTAATCCAATGGTTAAGACAGTTAATCCACTCATTTTCACAGGGCCATAAAATCAGTTCTTTCGGAAGATTGTAGAAATGCAATTTGCTCCATGCTAACCTTCTCTTATACCTTCAGATGCAGTCAGTTCCAGCTCCAGGTTCTTGACTTAATTTACATGAACTACACATTAGTCCCAGTAACCCTCTAACTCCAGGTCATATAAGTCACACTTTCTTCTTCAGTTAGGGAAAGTACAGCTCTTTCCTATATCATCCCCTTTCTGTCTCTACTGTCTGGGGCATCTATAGCCCCACTTTTCTATCTACAGGAATCAGATACTAGGTGCTATTTTGCTCTGAGTTCAGGGAGCATGAATGAAATTTTCTGAAATGTTGCATTTAGGGCAGTCATTATAGTCCTCATTTGGACATAGCAGTTTTCTCATCTTCTCTGGGGTCTATTGGGATATGGAGATTTCTGTCCTGCCTACCCTTGAGTGTAGTGGCCTACCCTCTAGTTGTAGTCCAGAAGTGTCTCTTCCACAAGGGGAGATCCTTCAGTTCACACAGAGGTCATTCATCCTCTTTTGTTAACCTGTTGTACTTTTGGCATATGGAACAAGGGTCATAGGGAGATGGCACTTTTACATCATTCTTATTTTTATTCCCTTCATTAGAATTAAAGTGCTAATATACACAAGTTATTTTTAGAATTTTAGTGGAATAATTATTTGGGCATTGTCCTCAGCCTTCCATGTCTTTGTGCATTAGATGACATATCTGGCTTTTATTAGAGAAGAGGTCACACTGGCCAAGTTTATTTGTAAGATAGGTTCTCCATCATCTGGTAGGACATCCTATCACCTAAGTGATAGGCAAGAGGGGCAATAATGTCTCCCCACTATGGGATTATGAATTCCATGTTAGAAAGCATTCATCAGGGATCCATGGCACTGGGTTTACCAC